ATATATATATATATATATATATATACTATAGTATATATATATACTATATATATATATATATAATATATATATATATATATATATATATATATATATATATGTGTGTGTGTGTGTGTGTGTGTATGTGAATGACCGACTGGCACCTTCACTCCTTGTACATGAAAATTGAGCTATTATATCTCGTCGAACTATGGCCGACCCAGTCAATCCAAAGCTATTATTATGTCTCATGTGTTGACAAAAAATACTCTCACGCTTGAGTATCGATCGGTATTTGGCCTCGGTGCAAATTTCACTGACAATACGATTTCTTTCTAAATAACCCGACTAAAGTCATACTGTTTACCCTTCTTCCCCTCCTCTTTTCGTGGTCCCTGGCCTTCCTGCGATGAACGCAACCGTATTCTACTGACGCTGTGTTCTCCCAATCAATGTCATGCATTGTTCTCCACTACTACAGCACGGAGTAAAAAACTGGTACATCGCAATCAAGGTATGTATTGTGTATACCTTCCTCAAGAAATTCGGAATTTATGTCTCTCATTGTCGCCCTCTTTGACGTGTGTACATACATCGATTTTACACGTTTTTTAATCGCAACTGCAGGACTCATCTTCGGTTTGAAAATAGCAATAATACAGAGACTCGCCTTTATGAACGAGTAGGTTCAGTAGAATACGAGCAGTTGAAAGCATATATGGTTTTGCAGTAAGTCTTGTCTGGCGTGCGCGCACACGGTGGAAGTAACGCGCTGTTCTTCACCGTGCCCACACAAGCCCGGACCAGCTTCTGCGCGAACACCTGATCCCAAACCGATTGGTTGGGGCGAAGCGCAGAAGCCTATCGAGTTTTATTATTGATTTATCTAAATAATAATTACAGCTTTTTATCGTGACTGACTGGGTGGGCGATTAGTTGAAACTGAATTGGAAAGAGCGGATCTGTGACATAAGTCGAAGTAACAACAAGAAGTAATATCACAACGAAAAAGGTTACATCGGTTTGCTATTCAGCACTTATCAGCAGTATTGTTCACAATTGTGTTTCATGACTTCCCTGACCTACACAGATGATACAAAGTATGAGGTATCTGACGATGATGAAATAGAGGACCCCGTGGATGGCAACGTCACTCGCAATGAAATGCTGGATAATGCGTTTGAGAACGCAATTAGATATGTGCAGTCGCGTGCGTAACGTCACCGTGTGAAGGAACAACCCAAACACTTTAGCACTGTACGTGCAGAGATACTCGATTGCAGTGATTGGTGATATCTGGCCGTTCCTCATTGCCAATTGTTGGCGTATGGCCGTATACAATATATCAATAAGCGGTCAATAAAACACGGCTGTAAAAATTGACGATGGAACGGGCCTGAGAAGCCGTAGGGACTGAAGGCGTATAAACATAGGGGTAATTTACTTGTTCATATTTACACTTGTACGTTTATTTATTGGTATTGAAAAAAAACCCCCCAACAACAAACAAACTTCAAAGCAGGTCCATATTTTTAAGGAAATTTGGGAATCCTGCGTAGGGCGTGCGCCATTCGCCGTGCGCGGGATTCTCTCTGCTGAAAGTGGGTATATTGACTATTCTCATTGTGGTCTATTCGGAATCTTCTATTTTTGAAACAAAAACAATTAAGAAAAATATTTGGCCTTGCGGGCAGGGGCGCAGGGCTTCACGAAGAGTCAAAGCAACTCAAAAGAGCATATATAACTACATACTACGTTAAGTTTTACTCAAGCGAATCGACCCAGACATTCCAAAATCCCAAGATATAGCTAAACATTTGAAAATACAAAGAAAGGAGTAAAAATCTAAGAGGAAGTGAAAAACCCTTGGTTTTTTCTAACAAATGTACTAAAACAAAACTATATTGTTTAAATTTTAAAAACAAAAAACAAAACAAAACTGCACATTTTTGTAAAATAGAAATTAATATGCAAATTCAGACTTCACAAGTTCAGAGGGGATACTTTTTTTTCTTCTTATATTGTTTTGAAAATACATGTACATCCATTTTTTTTTAAACTTAAATGTTAAGGCTGTGTTGTATTTTTTTCTTCGACTGGTTTTTGTCATTTTTTTAAAAACAAAAGTGCTCATCTTGTACTTTAAGAGATCATAAAAACTCACTCACATGGTATGTATTTTTTTTAAATTATGTCCGGACTTGTCCGTTCTACCGTAATATGTGTTCGACTTCTTTACACTTTCTTCAGAGCAAAAAATACAGACTGGAGGGCAGGGTTTCTGGTATCATATTAGTATGTACGCACCCCTATGCCATTAGACACATTGACAGTAACAACATTATAGTGTCTCCCTTATTTTGATCGAAGAATCAGTTTCAACACGTCACGATCCGAATAACAATACAGGATGACTAAATCAAACCGGAAAGGCAAGGTCGGCGAATCGGCCACGCCAACCACCGCCGTCGCAATCAACAGCGAGTCGAAACATATTGTCTGTTCAACGGATATATCTGCATGCGATCTCAAGCACAACACGCCCAGCAAAACAACTGGTAATTTCAAAGTCAAAGATGTATCAAAAGGCCCAGAAGCAGTGCGTACATTAGCAATGGAGGTAGAGCAATGGGATGGCCAGGAATCAGGCGGTGGCATTATCAGAAGGAATGTACTGATATTCGTGTTTTTTTACTTACCTATGATCGGATTTATCATCGGGACTACATACTTGGCTGTAAAGCTCGCCAAGGATAGACCGCCGCGAAAACCGCCGCTAGTATGGAAGAAACCAGCCAAAGACGACATGTATATCTATTTCTCGGTCATTGCAGCAATTACCACATTCTTCAGCTACACCACTCTGATTATGATATATAATCGCAGGAATACACCTGCCTTTCGTTGCAAACTGAAGGCTTTTACATATCATATCAGTTTTTGCTTGCTAGTGATCCCACCCCTGACATACGTGACTAACATGCTCACAGCCAAGTATTCTCCACGCGTGCATGGGGTCAAGTTCATACAGAGTATTGAGCTCTTTATTGTCGGACAGATCTGGGCTGCAATGTCCAATCGCGTGGGGCTTATGTACGTGATGTTTATCAAAGGCAATTATACACCCAATTATAAGATATTCTTGCTCAAGGCCGTCCTAATTGTGATGGTATTCCAGGAGCTTCCCTTTATTGTCGCTATGACCGTGTCCTTCCCAAAGTACACGTGGATGATCAAATGGGGTGCATTCACATACGCGATGATAACGCTCTTCGAGATTGCGGTTTATGTGGTGAGAATGGGCAGTGTTGTTCGGCTGTTCGTAGACTTCGAAAATGTTGTGCGAATGATGGTTATGCAGGCAATTTTGCTTAGTATTGGTATAACACTGTATTACCAGTTCCCTGATGGCAGGGCATTCTTTCGATACAATCAGACGATGGTTCTTGTATGGCAACTTATCTTCGAGATGTTTGGATCCAATTTGTGGAACGAATTTGTATTCTTTTTCGGGTTGAAAAGCTGTATCATCGGCCAGAACAAACTTATCTGTAAGGCGTATGACTTGGTAGATCCGCGTGGACGTCTGGATTCCATCCTAGACGATGAAGAGCTGTACCCCATCCTACTCAGAATAGCACGGGCCAGATATATGGACGAGAACTTCATGTTTCTTCATGATACGAGGGATCTCAAAGGACGAGCAGGGTCGGAGCAAGCAAAGCGCTTGCGTAATGGAGATTTAGAGGCCACGAGCGCAGCTAACGCTCGCGTGCAAACTGTACTGCAGAACTACGTGGTAGTTGGTGCGGTGTACCCTGTTAACTTGCCGTCCCGGCTTTTGAAGCCATTGCGAGAGCTCAATGAGGAAGCACAGAACTTCCCAGCTACAAATTTATTAGCAGGCGATACAGTGTGTGACCTGTTGTCATCTGCACGTGCATATACAGCCTCGTTGATTGATCAGAGTCTTATCATGAATGTGTTTTCGCAGCACAAGGATGTGCTAGACGTATTGGAAAGTAGGAGACACAGACTTATGCTGTCCTGTGGTTCCGACGCAAAATTGGCAGTACCTACCAGCAGGTAGTCGAGCGTGCAAAGAGGGTGCGTGAATTTATAGTTAATTTGTGGGATCGAATACTCGCTGGCAACGAAGTAATTACATTCACAAAGAAATAGAGAAAAATGTCTGTCTGTTAGTACATTTAGAAGGCTATATAACATAAAACATTGATGAATAGTTCATCATTATCATTCAGGAAGTTCGTGTATGTATATCTCAAGTATGTAAATTTATAGGGTTGAATATCAGGCTTTATGTGGTCGTATTCATTTAGAGAAATAGTGTCAAATAGTGTACAAAGAAATGTTTAGTAGTTGATGCTTCGCTCACTTGTTCCCGGTACACTATTGCGCTGCCAGCACATAGTTAATCACCATGCTGTTGTCGAGTCATCGACAATTGTCCACACAATTTTCGCCGCCCGTGCCCTCGTCCTTCTCCTGTACAGTGCATGCCTCCTTCAATCGTCTCTCTCGCGCAGAATTGGCGTCTGTTATCAACGTCACGGCTGATCATGATTGGTAAACCATGTCGTTGAAAATAGACTGCTTCTTCTGCAGGAGCTCGTACGGCTACCCCTGCTCAGCGATCAAGCCCTCATCCAAAACCAGAACGCGGTCACTATCAATCACCGTGTCCAATCGATGGGCAAACTGAACATGTACATGAGTGTATGCACGGGTATAGCTATAA